CTGGCTGAAGGAGACTCGAGAAGGCTTACAGCTTTTCATCTCATCCCCTGCATGCATCAGCCTTACTAGAGATATTAACAATGCAAGGAATTCGCAAGAGCAGGCGAAATATACACAAACACTGATCTCTGGCTGAAGGAGACTCGAACCTACGAACCTTGGAACAAGGTACGCAGTGCTAAGGTTCGTAGGTTCGATTCTCCTTCAGCCTGCAAGGTCTTGATAGAAGTACCAGCGGTCTGATAGAAGTACCAGCTGTCTTAATAGAAGTACCAGTAGTCTTGATATATATGAATATATACATATATATATATATATATATATATATATATATATATATATATATATATATATATATAATACGAAAACTCAAGCGAACGAAATTTCTCCGTAAGAAAGTGATAAATTGAGAAAAAATGTGTAGAAGAAATTCAGGAGTAACTGGGATATTGACAAGGTGTAAATCTGCTCTGTGACGACAACTGCCAAGGTTAACAGTGGCCTTGCTTACACCCAAGTTCATAGTGTAAAGTCAAGGCGCTCTCTCTCTGATACACAAACACACACATATACAGTCATTCACGACAATGTACACCGTGTATGTCAGGCCCATATTGGAGTACGCAGCGTCAGTGTGAAACCCACACCTGGTCAAGCACATCACAGGTTTGGGTATGTTAAGGGTATGTCCTCTGAGAAAACGTTATGAGAACTCAACTTGATGACTCAAGAGTACAGGAGGATTAGAGGGGATATGATAACGTTCAAAATCCTGAGAAGACTTGGAAAGGTGAATAAGGACAGACTGTTCGAGAAGTGGGAAACAGGAACACAAGGGCACAGCTTTAAGCTGAAAATTCATGTGAGTCATTGGATGTTGGAAAGTATTTCTTAAGTCTTAGAGTAGTCAGGTACTGAGGTGGTAACTGCCAGGTACAGAGGTGGTAGCTACCAGTTACTTAGGCGGTAACTACTAGTTACTTAGGCGGTAACTACCAGGTACTGAGGTGGATACTACCAGGTAATGAAGCATCAACTACCAGGTACAAGGTGGTAACTACCAAGTACTGAGTGGTAACTACCAGGTACTGAGGTGGTAACTACCACGTACTGAGGTGGTTACTACCAGGTACTTAGGGGGTTACTACTAGGTGTGATACACACAAAGCAAAGAAACGGACGTGTGGAAACACCTGAAACATGGTACTGGCCACGTTTTGGTCCTGGAATTTCCTTCACTCCAATAAGAACATAAGAAAGAAGGAACGCTGCAGCAAGCCTACTGGCCCATGCGATGCAGGTCCAGGTTTTTAATTTCTCTATTTGTCTGAGAACCATGTCACTAGTTACAACAATCGTCCATAGTTTATTATCGTCTTGCTCTTCATAATTTAGTATTTCTTGAATTTCGCTAGTATCTTCCTCAGCAAAAACTGAGAGGAAGTAAGTGTTGAAAATTTCACACATTTCTTTATCACTGTCAGTAATCTGGCCTGAGTTACCTTTAAGTGGGTCTATCTTGTCCCTAATCTTACTTCTGTATACCTGAAAAACCCTTCTGGGTTAGTCTTCGAATCCCTTCCGACTTCAGCCTCATAATCCATTTTTGCTTTTCTTATTCCCTTATTTACTTCTCTCTTTAACTGAATATATTAATTTCTTCACTGCCCATCCCCTCTTCTGATATGCTATATATGCCTCTCTTTTGAAGTGAGATGTTTTAATATACTGTTTATCCATTTTGGATCATTTTGGTTAGATCTAATTTCCCTACTCGGAACATAAGCAATCTGAGCAGCTAGAACTATGCTCTGAAAAACGTTATATTGGCAACCATCACCACCTACCTGACCCATCTACCTGACTCGGGTCATTCCAGTTCAGCCCACCCAGGTAATTTCTCAGTCCCATGAAACTGGCCAAGCGAAAGTCTGGGACAGAGACTTGATTGTAGTTATTTGAGTAATTTCATGATATATTGAAAATAAGTGATTTGTGATTGCTTTCCCTAAGCTCATCAATAACCTCAAGATTATTAATTAGTGATTCTTTGTTGCAAGAAACAAGTCAAAATGGTCTATCATAAACTGTTTTAAAAAAGCAATCCTGAACCGTATCAAGAAAGTCACTAGACTCAAGATTTCCTGTCACGAGCTGCAAGACACAGTGTATATATAGGCCGAGGCTCTTTTGAGGTAAGGGTATTCAGGTTATGGGTGAACGTAATGTAGAGGACTAATCGTTCCAATTGTGATAGACGCATCAAATCTGACACTTTGGATCTTCAGAGGAAGTTTTTAAGAAATATGTTTCCCAGTGAAAATTTTCAAAATAGTCGCCAGATTCAAGATGGCCGACTGACGTTAATAAATTTGTGTAATAGAGGAGGCCAGTTTCTTGATCAAAAGCCAGTGCTACGTTCACCATGCAGTTAGGAATGGAGGAAAAATGGTGAGGGAACAGGGAATATGCACTGGACTAACTTATATACCCAGTTCCTGAAGAATGCAAGCAAATTTGCAAATGTGTTTGCAAACGTCCATGCAGTGGAAAGTTCACTTGTTGCAAATCAAAGTTGTCATGCACACCAGTGTGTAGCTGTCCATGTGAAGTAGATGGCTAGTAAGACACAACTTAGTATGATTTTTCTTTTACCATATGTTTATACTGTATGTTTTCGTTGTACAGAGGCCGTCTTAAATTTTGAAGCCATCATGAAAATTTTAATTGGCCGATACCTTTTTCTGATAATACATCTTTCGGACAATATTTGTGTCAAATTTTATGTTCCACTGACATTTTGAACGAGTGTTCTGATTACCAGGTACAATAAGGCAGGTCAGGTATAAGTAGTTGTTAGGTCAAGTTAAGCTGAGGGAAGTGAGGTCACCTGGGCGCCGTGTCGCTGTCGAGTCGACATGAGCATGGTGACGTGATAATTATGTGGCCCAGTGTGGATGACACACTGCAATGACCCGATTTCTGCTCAGTAGTTTTAGAAAAAAATTGGAAGGTGTCTGAGCAACGACGTTTTCTCATTTCTGATTCTGTAGACATAATTTGGGCATTGTTCTAATTTACGAGGTGACCTTCACTGCTGCTTTGAACATCATATCTGTTTATTACGCCAGATTTTTCCCTATCCATCGTCATACTTTACGATATGCTTCACCTTGTGGTTTGTAGTTTGTCTTCTTTGATTAGTAACTTTGTCTATGTGGTCTCTCCTCGCTGTTTTAATATTGCGTTAGTCATTGCTTTTTGTTATCTTCATAGTCGAGTGATAGTCACTTGCTGTTTGAGGGCGGGTTGTAGATTACTGACACTAATATTTTAGATCCCCAGATCATGAGTATGTCTACTGTGTAGTCACTGAGCTCGTGTATGTGTATTCCTTTCTGTTCCTGGAAATTGCACTAATTCCTACTTCCCGACTAACAGAGTTACCCCTCAGTTGCTCCTGCCTTCTATCCTTCCTTAGCACTTGATGCCCAACTTGGAATACTTCATTTGTTATTCCTTATGTTTATTTCGTTACTGTAAAGATTATGAAGTCTGGTGCTGTTTTTGGTATGTATTCGTTTAAGTTATTACCTTTGCTGACTATTCTATGTTTATTTGCTAAAATTTAACCTTCGTCTCTCACTATGTTCTGGTTGATAATGTCCTGAATTATGTTTCCTGCTAAGGGCTAGAGTGGTCGAGAAGGAAGGTGAATCACTGGTATCGTCGGACTCTACAATATTCTCGTACCTTAACGGAAAAGCAGAAGCGGTAGAAGCGGCCCATTTTTGTAACCGTAACCAGTGCCAGTATTGACAGAGCGGGCAGCAGAGGTTCTGCTTCTACCGGGCATGTAGAGAGAATAAAAGACCAATGGGCGGAGGTTAAGGGAAGTTATGAGGATGTCACTGGATGCTGTTGACTATAGGTGGCTCGGACTTGGAATTTAGGTAGTGGTAGGTTAAGTTTCGGAGGCAGCTTTTTAGTGCTGGGCTGGGAACAATACTGAATGTTTATGGATTGGCCCTAGGTCCTATGTTTATCTGGTGGGAGATGGCTTACCGTGTGTGTTTGTACTAACCCACATCTGGTCGCAGGGGTCGATTCACAACTCTTGGTCCCAAATGTGTGTGTGTGTGTATGTGTCCACGAACAAGAGCCGGATGTGATCAAGGTTGGCCAATTGGTTGCGAACTGAGTGACGCATCGTCCGTTGTTCAGTTTCCGTGAGTGAATGATTTGAGTGACGTAACTCTCCCACCCTGGAATACCGTGAGTTGTGGAGCAAGTCTACTTCCGTTGATTAAATTACCCTGATGTGTACGTGTGTGTGTGTGTGTGTGTCCCCTTGTGTGTGTGCACGCACATGTGTCTGCACGCATCCTCGGTTTTACAACCCATATTATGTCTACATGGTAACTTAAAGTTTGCCAGAATTTGCATTGAGCAGAGTGACAACATAATAAATTCATGATATAGATTCTGTACTTAAAAATCAATGTATATGAAAATACAGTAACTCACATTTTTACCTTATGTTACAACAAATTTCAAATAAGCTTCTGTTGTTATACACATCATTGTCGGTAACCTAAAGGTTATCAACTTTCTCCAACAAGTACGTAACAGTGTTAGGTAACGTGTGACCGTCTCATAGCGTGTACAAAAGTTCTTGTGAGTTACCTTGCCAGAGCAGCTTGCGTTAACAAGGTAGCCTGCAGGTCACTGGTAGAGCGTTATACTTACACCCAATCCCGAGTTTGTTTTCCAGGCTAGCAAGAGGAATGGGTTGATCTTACGTTTGCTGCCTTGTTCATCTAGCAGTAAATAAGCACCTTAGTGTTAGGTTACTGTAGTGGGTGGATATTGTGGTGTGACATTATACTTTCAGTTGGGCAGGCTTTGAAATTATATGAGTTAGAATTACAGCTTTTAACTTGTAAATTTAATTGTATAAGAAGTAACAAAGTTACTAATTCAAAATCTTTCTCCCACAGAGTCACCATTATATGAGTCCCTCATCTCGTACTTCTCAGAAGGGGAGGACATCTTGACCATTCCAGACACTGAGGGCGAGCATGAGTATCAACAGATCGAGGTGGTCGACACCATGCCCAAGAGTGACAAAAAAGCGCAGGGAGCAGCTTCCGCATTGTGTCAGGAATTTGGTTCTACGGAAGCCGAGAGTGACTCTACCGACTGTAAGCCGCCGCAGGAAGACCACCAGCAAGAGCAGCAGCAGCGACAACAGATAACGACAGCAAATAAGCTCCACACACTGGATGTTAAGCCTGAGAGACATCACAACAAAGAGACTGAAGTCAGTGACGATGTCACATGCAGCTGCCAGACTAGTGGTTCAGTGAGCCCGAAGAGTGATAATGATTCTGGCTCCTCCTCTCCCCCTCCTAAGACAGCAACAAAGAGCTCCACACAGTCACTTTCTTCTCATGAGAGTCACAAAAGTGCCATTTACATCATCCATGACTCGAGCAGCTCCCAGGAAGACAACACCTCTGCCATCACTGTCTCAGACACATACAACGAGATGAATCGACCGCCGACGGTCATCCATATTTCGAGTTCCAGCAAGTGTTCAGTTGATCAGATTAGTCCACACGGCAGCGAGAAGAATGTGAGTCGGAGAACTAGCGTTAAAAACAATAATCTGAACGTTTCCACAAATCAAAGTTCCTCTTCATCATCAAAATCCAACATAAAGACAACTTGCTCTGCCAAATCCAGCAGCGTGGAACCCGCGTACACTGCTCAGGTGATAACCCGAACCAAATTACCTGAGGTGACGTACCCACCGCTCACTATAGAGTTGCCAGAGACAAAACAAACTCCCTGTAGACCAGAGCAAACCACCTGCACTACGAAGAACAAATCTACTCAGGCTTCTCTTGACTCGGCGCCCCACATCATAACAACACTTGATCCACCTATCAAAACTGCAAGACCCCCGTCAAGACCTTACAAATCATCCTATAATTTCGCTACGGCGACACAATATTCCGAGGACCCACCACCCTTAGTTGTGAACTTCGATTCCGAGCATTCTGACAGTGACGATGTCGGAGGTGGAACTGACAGCGAAACAGACTCCATTGCAAGTACCTTTAACGACAGAAACTCATTTTATATGACGGAGGGGGACACCAGTTCTATATACTCGTCAATAGCGGAGATCTACTCAGTGCTGAGCACCGACCAGGATTCTCTGGTGTACGTGTACAGGCGACCACCAGACAGTAACAACCACCACTCGACGTACTCCACCCTCAGTTACCGGTTCCCCAGCTACGTCCTCGCAAGGTACAGTACACCATTTCTATCGTTTTCTTTCCTCAAGCCGCCGATTTATACGCTAAGCACATTACATCTAGCTTCGATGCCTTCTTTCTCTCTGTGTGTGAATGAATGACTATGAACAGACAATGGTAAAAAGATTGTCAGTAAAGAATATTTTATAAATACGACGTTTCACCCACTGGTGGCTTTATTAAGCACATGGAAAATATAAAAAACAGTATTGTAGATGAATGGTTCAGAGAACCGACACGTTGATAAATTAGACACATGTGCAACTCTTGGGTATCTTATTAAGGAAACGTTTCGCCACACAGTGGCTTCATCAGTCCGTACACAGGAGAAGCTTGAAGAATAGGAGGAGAATGAGGTAATCAGTCCCTCAACCTTGAGTCGATGTGGTCAGTCCATCAATCTTGAGTAGAATACGGTATATGAGCGGAGAAGCAGCTTATAAACCGTAGGTAGGAGAGGTGCAGCAGTCATAGGTGGTGTCACATTTCACCAATGTGGAAGTAGGTCGTGCCCAAGGGTTAGGCAAGCGAAGAATTCCCAAGTATTAAGATCCCAAGAAGTTGCAGTGTCTGACAGGATTTTAGATGAATGGTTCACAGAACCGACACGTTGATAAATTAGACACATGTGCAACTTGGGAATTCTTCGCTTGCCTAACCCTTGGGCACGACCTACTTCCACATTGGGCAAATGTGACACCACCTATGACTGCTGCACCTCTCCTGCCTACGGTTTATAAGCTCCTTCTCCGCTCATATACCGTATTCTACTCAAGATTGATGGACTGACCACATCGACTCAAGGTTGAAGGACTGATTACCTCATTCTCCTCCTATTCTTCAAGCTTATCCTGTGTATGGACTGATGAAGCCACTGTGTGGCGAAACGTTTCCTTGATTAAGATACCCAAGAGTTCCACATGTGTCTAATTTATCAAAAAAACAGTATTCTGGCGTCACCTGACCTCACCCATCGGCACTTACCTCCTCCAAATACTTTTATACCACTTTTTTTTATATATTTCATATTCCTGACAAAGTCAGTGACTGAAAAATCATATTAATTAAAAATTAATTTATTGAAAGAGTCTTCTTTCTTTCTAACTCTGTACCAGATACAGCAACTAGTTCTGAGTTTTCCATCATTCATACAGAATTTTACACAATATTT